TGAATAAGCGATTTCTTTGCGCAATCAAATTTTTTATGCGCAATGGATAGTTGCAGGAATTCTTTTCCTACTTTAATGGCACATAACGTGCTAGAATATCATTCAATGTATCAAGAAAACGCCGATAAAGTTTATCTACTGATGAAGAGTTGTCAAGTAAGGTCCACCAGTCAATGGTACTCAGGATGGATGAGATAGTCGAGTAATCAGCCTTGGAATAGTCAGGGTAGGTACTCACCTTACTTATCTTATGGTAGTCATTGGGAATCATTAATCTGAAATAAATGCTAGCATGATCGAAGCCACATAGAAGAGATCTGACGGTTAGATCATAAATCAAGGAATTGGTACAAAGTACAAGATCAAGGATGTTATTGTTTCTGGGGGGGGGGGGTACATTACATGCTGTTGCAATGAAAGAACATCAAACAAATTGATAAATCTAGAAGCATCAGGACATAGTGGTGTTAAGGTCGACCAATCAACGGTGAGGTTGAAATCACCTAACAGCACAATGTTTTGAAAGTTACAACCAAATGTTTGTATTGATTCGATAAGATCGGAATCATCAGAGTAATGAGGATGAGGGTGGGCGGTAGACTAGAACAATTGCGCATTTTAACTGTAAGGGAGGATTGAAAAGTTTCAATGCTAGCACATCACTTAGAGTAGATGCAGGTATAGAAATATCTTCGCAAAAATCGTATCTCGAATGAAAACACAGATACCTCCCCCTCGTTTTCCTATACGATCTTTACGAACGACAACATAAGGAAGATTGAAGCAAAACTCTAATGAATTGATTGGGGATGAGAGCCAAGCTTCGGTGATAAAGACTATATCAGGTTTATCAATATCTAGAAGAAGACGAAATGAATCTATCTCATTGACGAGACACGTGCATTTAACATCATACAATTCATTCCATTGATAACATGCATGAAATTTAGTTTACCTGAGGTGAGACTTGACTCTAATTATTGCGAATGTCTGTTATCTTGACTACTTCACCTCTGCATACCACATATATTTTTTGACCCAACGCTTGATTTTTTCACGAGCCTCTTTACGCAATTCAAAGTCTCTCCTGCGCTCTTCCACCGTTTGACTAGGCCTAATGAAGATATTCTCGTACTTGGGGTTGCTCCTCAGTAACCGAGAACCTCAGTAACCTTTACTCAGAACAGCGAGGCAGTGGGATCTTGAGGGTAGCGTTACTTTGGTCAAACGAGGTTTGCCCTCCGTAGCTCTACCCATACAAAAAATCGCCGACGGCCTCGCCTCGACGCCCAGAACGTCTATAATCTCCGTTACCTTCATTTCGACATCAACCTGTCTTTCGGATGGATGTTCATCCGAGAGTTCAGGGATGTCCTCACGATGCTTTTTTGGCGAAAATAATCCTCGCAAATTGAATGTGATCCGATTAATACCGACTTTAGGGCCTGGAATGAATCCAGGACCTGCGTAGGTACGCTTGAAGTTAACGCCAAAAATGACGAGAGAGTGTTCAAGTGCGAGATTATATCAGCAGAGAGTTTCTGATTCAGCACTTGCTTTTCGTTGGAGGTGTCGTCAAAAAGCCTGCTAGAATTAGGCATAGCGGAAGAAAGTTTCGACGCACCGGACTTTTTCTTCATTGAGATAGTACGATTCGAACTCATGGTAGTGAGAGAGATATATACTGCTGCCACTCTGTGTGCTTGTGTGAATGAGAATGAGAATCATTCAATTTTATTCATCACATAAATTTGCAAGGCTAGATTATGACCGAGTTTTCCTCTAATCATCTAAGTTTTTCACTCTTCTTCGATGGAAAACAAAAATTTTCAGAACAATCAAGCCATTGATTATATACGGTTGTCTCCACTTCTTGTATAGTGCTCTAACGAAAAAAACGCAATACTGGCCGTCCTTCGTACTCCATGTCATCGTCCAAGCGTGCGGATTGCCAAAGACTTCGCAATCCTCGTAGCTATGGCATTTTTACAGTAAGAATGACTCTGATTACACTAAGTCCTCGATGTTATAGGTGTTCTTCGTTGCACCTGCTTTTCTACGGAAACGTTTCGATCTCTGTCAGAGTCTAGAAATAATATTGAACGTTAGAACAATGACTCTTTATGAAATCAGTCATGGATTCCGCCATTTGTTAAAAAATTTATCCCCTGTTGAAAAAGAATACAATTCAATTATGCACCGATCATCAAACTTCATTTATTATTTCACTTTTTATTTCAGCAAATACTTGAGTGACTTACTGACATAATACACAAAGGCTTCACACGTAAACTTCTTTCCAAGCTTTCTCATGGTTCCTCAGAAGTAAACAATAGGCGGCAAATTTCCGACGTATTTCTCACTGATACAAGTGAGTTTTTGATAATCATCTAATGATATTATGAATGAAATTGTTACTAAATTCAAATTTAATAATGCCGCTAGTTTTATAATGTTGTTCAAACCTTAGTCTCACTTCTTCCAGTTTTTCTTCTCCGAATTTCAGCCGATAAAACCCAATTCTTGACGTTTAGCTACAATTTCACTTAATGCAAGTGAATGAAAAGAACGTGAGAAGCAATGATGATGGACACTGCCCCCCGCCCCCCCCCCCCCCCGGTCGACGCACCTTGATAGCGGCAGCCCTCATACCCCTTTCACCCCTAGAGAGGCGGGACCCCTATGACCCCTTCACCCTGGAGAGGCAATGTTCCCTCTTTACATACGTATGAGTGGAAATGACTTTCCTAAATGAATCTTATACCGCTTTGAAGAGCACCAAACGCTGATTCCAAATCTGATTTCACTATCTGCCAAGCGCCTTTGAATGCCGAGTTACCAGTATTTTCTTGGTGCGAAAGATGAAAAGTATGAGTGTTTTGGATAGAAGGTATTGTTCAAATGGAGCGCTTTGATAATAAACAAAGAGCCGTTTACACAAGTCTGACAGATTCTGTTCTAACTATGCCTTCAATTTTTCAACTCAAAAAAGCTCATAACTCAGCGTCCAAAGGCGCTCGGAAGATAACAAAGACAGCTTTAGAATCAGCGTTCGATGTTCTTTACAGTCGTAGTATCTTATGTGAAAAGACCTTTTGAACCAAACGGACCTCCCCTTTTCAGATAAGGGACAATTTCCGAGATCTAGTATACTATTTCACAACTCGCGAAACGCATCTTTGATATGTAAAGTGTTAGTCTGGGCATAGTGGGTTCACGTAGTTAGTTAGTTAGTTAGTGGGCAGTCAGTTCACATTCACATCTCAGTTAGCCAATCAATGTAATTGCCGTAATTAGCACACTGAGTAATTACATGCTGTAAACAAAACTCAAAAGATATGTGGAAAGTGATACATTGTGCACCTACCACGCCCGACAGGCAATCTTGTACAAATAAGATTGACGGCTTCGATCTGTTTCAGTGGTGTCTGTATATTTAGAATTTGCCCACTGTGAACCGCTGTGACGACGCGACGAACTGACGCTGAGACGTTTGCGCCTTTTTATTCACGCACTGAGGTGGAAAGGCAACAGCGAAAAGGGAATAGATGCAATTTATGCATCAAACTTCGAAATACTAGTCGCTCATGAAATAGAGGACGAATTCTATTTGATCCGCGAAGAGTCAAGAAGCACCAGGAAAGCTCAATGTAAAAAATAAAAATCATGGCACAACTGAAAAACCCGTCCGATCAAGTGAGCGAGGAGGCTGTAAGTCGGAAGCATAAGTTCAGGTTTCACAGAGCAGAAACAACAGATACTGGTGTAGGAAAAGCGCTAGTTACGGTAATGCGCTATTGGCCCTGCACTCCTGCCCCACCCCCGCTAACTATATTAGCAACTGAGTCCCGCCCCTGAGGAAGAGAGAAAGAGTCCACAAGCGAGCCGGCCGGAGCCGGCTCGCCATCGTCCACTCGCTTAATTACTTTCTTATTTTATATGCAATTAGTTTTCTCTATTATTCCCTTTTCTTCTGTATGTGTTCTTTTTATCCAAAGTTGTATCGGCATAAGATTATCTGAGCTCCTGCCTGGTTACCCTCATCTTACAACTTATCCATTCTCTACCTCATTTCTTACCCATCCATTCCTATGCTGTTATTCCGCCCTTATTCGCTGTCTGCCGCTATACCTTATATCCTATGCTTTGTTTATATTTGCCTGATAAATGCCTTTTTATATATGTCGGTTGAGACGGATAGGGAGTAAGCGTTACTGAAAGTCCAGCTACGGTACCATTGATAGCCTAACGGTAAACGACCAAGCATAAATTCGTTACATGGAGGTTCCGGGCCGGGTTTTACTATCATAAAACTCGGCAAAAGAACATTTATCTTACCAACCTATTTTAATTATGTACTATAGCCATATAACCATTTCTATAAGCGCATTTAGTCACATCTACGCCAACTCTATTGCAAGGCTACATGAAAATATTTTAACTTATGTGACTGGAGCAAACTGCTCCCACTATTTTCATGGCGTAGGAAAAGCCTGGCCAGGTCCGTCTAAGCTCACCTTTGCAAGTAAGATAATAAAATTTGAAAACAATTAAGCGACAGCTCACAAATTCATGCGGAGTAATAAGTATACACTAATAAATCAAAAATTTTCCACTCAACCTTCAAGATTTGGTAACGCATCAACATCCACTACTTCCTAACTTTCTCCCACGACATCTCTTTCATACATTATTCAAATACTCACAAATCGTAAATCTGAATCATAAATTACATTTATCTCGAATAAATTCCCAGCTGTGGCCCTAAATCTCACCCGATAAGGCGTGGTTTTCCACACACCTCCTTCCCATTCATTCCCCATGCTCGTTGACAGATGAACGTTTTCTCCTTCTCTTCCTTTCTTCCCCCCCCTTGCAACATAACCTTAAAAAGTTCCAATAATCAGCATAATAAGCTTCTTAAATCCCATAAATACATTTTGGTGCATTTCTTTCGCTTTAACTAACATGCATGAATTTTACAGAACTCAACTTAGAAAATGACTCCTCAATCTGCCCTTGCTAAACACCACTGTGTGATCATGGATGTCGACCGTCAACTCTCGCACTCAAACGATCATTACCAATATCTGTGCAAAATACCCGCGTGGATGGACGATCGCCACAAGACCGCGAACATTCTGCGGCTAAGTACGATCATCGAAATACTGGAAGATGACGATTTGGTCCACCTCTCCAACGACCGCATCGCCGCTTACACGTTCATGGCCATCAGACTGGCAGTTGACGGAGCCACCGGACACTTCCTCTACGATTTTCGTAGCATAAGAGTACGAGGAAAGGACTGCCGCCAACACTCGATGCAAGTGTAAGAGCTGCCCGTCGCAGCGCACCATCGTCGAACATATCCAGGCCCGAAATAAGGATAAGTTGCAGTATTCACGATCACCGCTCGTGGAATTAGGGATCGGCGAGGACGCTCATCGACTCACTATGGAGCAGATTTGGCTTAAAATACCAAAACTTACAGTTAATTTCGAAGAAAGGAACGTATGGGCAAAAGCAATGGACGACAGCAGACCAGACGCTCGCAAGGACACGAACGTATGGGCCAAGGCGACAAACAATCGCGAACAGACCAAACGCTCACGAAGACCAACACGTTTGGGCAGCGGCAACGGACAACAACAGCAGACCAGAAAGTGCTGGGTCCAGCACCTCCAGCTGGCACGTACTGAAGGAAAAGAAGTAATTACCGCCTCGAAAGGTTTTTTATTTCATTATTCTGTATTGCTATTCCATCTTTCATTATGTAGTGCTAATTTGTTCTTCTGCCCCATAAATATCACTGCAAAAGTGTGCTAGGGATACTCAAAAAAAAAACGCTCGCAATACACATGCTTTTTGCTCACATAGCTCACATTACATTTCCAAACTATACGAAATGCTGCGATCACAAACTTCATGTAAACTATTCTCCCGAAACATGATCGTCGGGCATTTTCCCGCAACTCGTGACAATCGTAAACTATCTGCTATCATCCAAGGGATAAGCAGTCCAAATTTAGCGATACGCGCTCAAGGTATAAACATTTGAAAAAAAACGATCGCGGGGGCTAGAGATCGCCGCGAAAATAAGCGAAAAATTCTGATATAAACTCTCCGCCATATCCTAGAACCTCAATCGCTTAGCGTACAGTTGCCAGCCGAAATTGCTACCAGTCGCCATCTAACACTTCAATTCCGAAAAAAAAACCCAGTTTAGCCAAAACATATCACAGGTTTCAAGCAGTGAGTATAAAACATTATTCTTTATTTTTAACATATAACTGAACTCTCACTTCTATTGTTTCTCTTGTCTTCTTGTCTACTCCAACTCCTTTTTAAAAAAAAAATCCCCTTCACTGATCAGTATTTTGACACTGCCAAAGGGAATTATCCACACATCGCAGATTTTTTCCAACGTAATATCCTCTCGCATAACACCCTTGTTACTGAACAAAAAACATTTCTATTAGACACTTTCCCACCTACAGTCGAGTAGATTTAGCGGTAAATATAGTGTGCTTGCACAGAAGGTGAAATGCGGTGAAATTTGCGCGTAAACAATTAGCCACGCCAGTACTGCGGGTACCTTGCACGCGCAATTGGCCGGCGTCACAGTCGAAGCTATTTCTTCACGTGCAAATTTTACCGCATTTCACCTTCTGTGCAAGCACACTATATTTACCGCTAAATCTACTCGACTGTACTTGCAGTCTTTGAGTGTTTTTTCAACTCGGAAACAACCGTATTAAATCCAACTGCTCTTCAAACCTTCTCTCCCCCCTCTTCAAAAAAGGGAAAAAACATATTCATACCCAGTGTAGCAAAAGAAAAATTGCGTGTCATCAGCAAAACAAAACATTAGGAAAAAAGATACAGCACATAGAAAATCGAGAATACAAAGGAAAAAAGTATTATTGCCTTGCTGTCCGTGGCCACTCCTCGAGCTGCCGGCATCTAGATAATTCACAAAACTCGTGTTTTCTCGAAGAAATAACCATATAAGCAAGAATAAACTTTCTGGTGTCACTAACAGAGATAAAAAGGTACAAAACAAAAGAATAACCGCGAAAAAAAAAACGGAAAAAAACTGGTTGAGCCCAATTTCCGTAGTTGCTTCCAACACTCTACCCTGGCCCGCCGCGAGTCGCCGTTCCTAAAATAAATTGGAAATTTTTTTTCATTAAGTGAAGCGAAAATTCTCATTAAGTGCCGCGAACAACTTAATCTTCTCTGAGATACACACACGCACACTAGTTACTGACACTTAGGAAAGCGTTTTGATTGATCACCAAAATTCCTCCTAAAAAACAGAAACCCATAGTACGTGAAGCATTACTAAATAGGTCAGAAAGGCGCCGAAGGTTTAACGCCAACAGAGAAGCATTTCTCGCAAGACTCGCTAAGCGTAGGAAGCAGCAACCATCCAAAGAGGCGGAGGAGACCCCAAGAACTTCTAGATATAGAGTAGAATCTAACCAGCCTTCCACTAGCAAAGTAGACCCCCGCGACCTACCGTCTACTAGTCAAGAAAATTTGGCGAATACCAGGCTAGCGAAGTAGAAGTAAGCGAACAACCTTTAACTAGCCAAGTAGCATCTGGTTACGCAACCCCAGCAACAACTCCCGCAACTCCCAAACCAGAAAACTTTGAAGAGGAAGAAAAGAAGACAGAAAGCGCTTTCACTAAACTAGTCCAAGGGTTAAGCGCACCCTTAGATACAGCAAAGAAGAGGCAATTACATATCCAAGACCACCCGAAATGTCTGAAGAAGACAATGGAGGTAATGGCGGTAAGGACGGAGGTAACGGTGGAAACGGTAACAATAATAATGGCAACAACAACAGTGATGGGGAAGGCCAGCAAGCTCAAAACGAAGCTCTAAACTACAGCCCACCCGACCTATACGCTTCAAGCAAACTTTTAGGCCGCGCTTAGAAAGATTCACTGGCGACTCCGATAAAACTTTCAAAGAGTTCCTAGAGGACTGCCGGGAGTTAGTAGATAGCTTGCACATTCCTCACGTTTATGCAAAAAGTCTCTTGCCCCTATTCTTAGCAGGCGGAGCTAAAGTCAAAAACCAAACCTTGAAACCCGCAGAAAGAGCAACCTGGCAAGCAATGACCAAAGCCAACCAGCTAGCAACCAAATTCAAGAGCCAGGCTATGCTAAGTAACGTTCGCGATGAGTTACATCATCTGAGGAAGGGAAAAGATTCAGTAGGCGAATTTGCAAAGAAGATTTTAGCAAAAACCAAGATAGCATACCATAGCGAAGATAAAAAGATCCCCAATAAACTAGCCACTGATTTTTCATGAAAAGGTTACGGCCCGATATTCGTAGGGCCGTGCGAAGACTCCCCGACCCCCCTGACTTTGAAACCGCGCTGGCCAATGCAGAAAAAGAGCAAAGAACTTTTGGAGCAGGAATATCGCGAAGAAAAAGAAATCTTAGAAAGCATTAATTCCCTGGTATTTGATAGAAAAGTAGAAGAATTTGACGGCGCTATTCCACATAAGTTGACCCAAAAAATTAAAATCGTGAATTTCGCTAAAACTTCGTCTAGGGGGGTTATTTGGTATGCTGAACACGAATATGATGTTTATCTCGTGCGACAGCGCCATCCGGTGGAATTACGGTAGGATTACGGTAGGGGTTCAAAATCACGGATTTGCCCGAAACTTGGCCCAGAGGGGTTATTCGGCCCGCTGATGCTGAATATCACATTGGTTTTGTACCGTAGCGTCATTTTCAGGGGTTACTGCGGGTATACGGTAGGGGGTCAAAATCTCGAAATCCGCTGTAACTTCGCACAGAGGGGTTATTCGACATGCTGATAAGAAATGTCACACTTTCGCCGCACGAAAACGTCTCCCTGCATGGTTACGGTAGGTTTACGGTAGAGGTCAGAATCAAAAATCGGCAAATGTATCTTTCCCCTGTGCTTTGCTTAGGCAAAAGCCGCAGCAGGATGTGCAGCGCGGCGGTGGTCATGTGTGCAAAGCTTCACGATCGTCCGAGTGGCTACACCCGTTTTTCAGGCAGAACTATGTTCTGCACCCGTTACCGTGTAGCTACCGTAACCCGAGAAAATGACGCTACGGTTCAAAATCAATGTGGTATTTGGCATCAGCGGGCCGAATAGCCCCTCTGGGCCAAGTTTCGGGCAAATCCGTGCTTTTGACCCTTTACCGCAGTCCTACCGTAACCCCACCGGATGACGCTGTCGCACGAAGTAAACATCATATTCGTGTTCAGCATACCAAATAACCCCCCTAGACGAAGTTTTAGCGAAATTCACGATTTTCATTTTTTAGGTCAACTTATGTGGAATAGTACCAAATTCATTGATCACGTCAATAGCCTTCAACAGGCACTCGCAATCCGTCTAGAAGCCCCAGGCAAGATCGCCCCCGTCCTGTAGTACGCTTCGCACCAAACGCGTGTCGAATCACAAATTTCCAGCCAAGGAGATCACAAACTCCGTACCGTCCCAGAATAAGCAATCAAGTGAATCCCCGCGCCAACTGCGTTTCGTGCCTAAAAGACTGTTCCCAAATCCTCGATTTTTGAACCGCCGCTCAACTAATGCGTCGTTCCGCTCCTTCAATCAACCTTACGTTTCTTATCTTGCCTATACACAGCCTATGCCACATAGGTCCCAATCAACCCTTTGTTCCTGCCATAGCAAACTCCACGCCATACTATCAGACGTCTAACCGCCTTCCTTCACCCGCGCAAAACGTTAATTTTCTCTGCATACTGGCCATAATAGCAGTCTGCCTCGTGGTACCCATAGGGTCTTTTCAAATATGCGGATGTAGCTCGTTTCCCAACATACTCTCACTTCCGAAACTAGCACAATGTCGTATAACCACCAAAGAGCCAATGATCGAAACAAACATACAGCTGTTCAGCGAAAGCAACAAACCCCTACAAATACTTGCGTACAAATGCTATCGAGACGGTATAAAAGTTTCAATACACAACTTTCTTATCAGGACCAGGCGAACAATAGTAGGCCGACAACGAATATCTGTCTCCCACGAAAATTGCGAATTAGCCAAAACAACTAATACTATCCATGGTCACACTTTCACTAAAATGTCGCCTGGTCTCAAAACAACCAGGGAAATTGAAGATGAAAATACTTCACTCCCTCTCTGGGAATCAAATCTATACTTACGAAGTCTATACTCTATTGAAGAGGGGCAGATAGCCTCGTTGGACGGTGAAACCACGATAAGCACCCCCCTAGGGAACTTGAATAACTGCTCCATCACGGATGGCAGTTGTCTAACACATAACGAAATCGTAATCTGGGAATCTATCCAAGTTTACCCTTAATGCAGATAAAGCCCCCCTGGTAATTATGACGCTTTGGTAAGTATGAAATACATTCTCATACCGGAGCATGAACTGGCTTTTGAATTTATAATCATATACTTCGTACGCAACTACTAAAACACTGTAGCATAACGAACAGTTACCTAACTACAGTCGAGTAGATTTAGCGGTAAATATAGTGTGCTTGCACAGAAGGTGAAATGCGGTGAAATTTGCGCTGAACAAGTAGCCACGCCACTACTGCGGGTATTTTGCGCGCGCAATTGGCCGGCGTCACAGTCGAAGCTATTTCTTCACGCGCCAATTTTACCGCATTTCACCTTCTGTGCAAGCACACTATATTTACCGCTAAATCTACTCGACTGTACTTCGAATCATATCATTTCGTTCCCTAACATTCCTTCTAACACAATGATCCAAGACTACATTTTAGAAGCCTCGGCTTTAGGAGGAAACGCGAAGCTAGATATCTTACGGACACAGAGAACAGACAGTCGAAGTACGAATTGATACCAGCGCAAACAATTCCTATCACTTAAAGAATCTTTGGTACTAACGAATTTCAACGATTACCACGATTCGAAACGCTAATCACAACTTTATTCTATTGAGTGAAATCAAACTTTGGAATATTACTAACAGTGACTTTCTCCGCCGAAGTCGCATGTATGCGACTGAAAACGCCCGAATAAGTGTATTACGTACCATCCGATACGCTGAATATCGTTATCGTCAGATCGCGTGGCTTAAGGCCATCAGGTCCAAAAAGCCGCTAAATTATGCTGAGCGTTCTTTACTTCAAGGTCTTGAGAACGGAATCACTGATGTTTTCAACCACAACCTATCACAAGAATTTGGGTTACTAGAAATAGAGATAAACCGAGATCCTGCCAAACTTAAGCAGAATTCCAGCATTCTTTCAAATAGAGGACCTAAACAACATAAATGTGACCGCCTACGTAGAAACTGACCCTTAGCATGTAGGAAAAGATCAGACTACTATCGCAACACCCAGTCCACGCAAAACTACCTCTCTCAAGACCACGTCGGCTAAAACAAGTACTACAACATGTGCGAACATCATTGCTACAACTAGTACAACTACTACACGAACAGCACTCGCGCATCTCACTACAACACTGCGCCCCATTACAAAACCACCTATGCACATTCCACCTCACGTACATCGTAGTCCAGCAACTCCAGCGCCACAACAAGCCCAAGCATATTGCGGACTACCCCTAGGAGACCAATCCTAACTCTAGAAAAGTTAATCCCTTTACCTCCTTCGCAGACTGTTCACAGACAAACCAAGCGGACTAACCAATATGGCCATCCTTTTGAATCAACAAACATCCGGAGCACTTTCAACAATGTGTGCATAAGGCAATACCTAAACAATCAAAAAATTCATGAACTCAGTCGCGCCGACCCTACATGGGCCGCTCGAATTTTACTAGGAACTTAGGACGTAGTCGCTACCCTGACTGACGAAGTACTTTTGGTCTCAGATGTAGAAAAGTAGAACCGACTGAGGTATACTCGAATCATCAAGTGAATTAAATTTGTTACGATTTGCTACCAGTTTTAATCGAAAATCATTTGTGGTTCGCGGGACTTAGTTCACTCAGCCATCGAGACACCCGTACCCTTACATTACCAACCTAAACGGACAAGTACCCTATGCTGCCGCCTGATATGATCATGAACGAAAATGCGCAACCATTTCTTTTCAACTATCCCCCATATATCATCATATAATGGAAAACTACGCGCCAACGATCAGATTCCAATTAGACAGACTACAGCAAGAGCACCTCAACTTACAGAACAGATTACAAAAGCGGGGCATTATGGATGATGCTTTGCTCAAAATTGTCAAGTTTGAAGAGTTAGCTATTCTCTTAACTTGATCCTTCTACCCTAAGTTTCTTCCCTTTGTACTAACATAACAATTCTTGACTAGATTCTTTTATCGTTATAACATCAATATAAATATGGGGGAACATAATTGGGGAGGGGACCACAGAGCACCCGGGAGTGCCAGCTCATCTGAAGTTGGTGGCACCGCCCAAGTCGGCGAGGGGACTGTCGGACTCTAATTAGTCTGCGTCTCGACATGTCCGTTCCATGGCAAAGCTCGTCCTCGAGCTTTTGAGGTTGGCCATGGTTATTGAATTGTCATCAGTGGCTTCGCTGGGGAGTTGCCCATATGCATGGTTGCGATGTCATCATTGAGTTGGACGTTGCCCATATGTACAGTTGACGTTGCCCATACGTGTAGTTGATGTTGCCCATTTACCATTTGCTGCTTTGGTCGAGGGCAGACTTGCTTCAGGCGTTAGTCGCTGGATTTTTCTTCACAAGGACAGGGGGAAAAGGGATGAAAAGGCACGCTTTCGCACGCCCCGTCAGAAGAATGAGCTCGTCTCGAGCTGAGGATAAATGAAGCAACATGAAGTTTGAACGATGAGCAACTGGGGTACGGATGAAGGGCTTCCGTGGTCATTTGGGGAGGCGGATAAGGATTTCCGCATGGTGGTAAAATATGACATAGGGTATAGGGAAGCAGATAAAGACCGCACTGATGA